CTTTGTTGCCAAGATACTTAACTAATATATGTGCGCAATTGTATAGCTTGAGAATGGTGTCGCTGAAAAGCGGAGTAACTCTTCACTGAACGTCTTTTCGTACATGCGTATGCGCGAAAAAGTTTATTTTAAGGCTTCAGTATTAATTAAAACACTGAAAAAAGGGAGCAGCGACAAACACATCTACATGATGGTCAGTAGTCTCAAATGACATATTGACTTTTTACAAGATGGATAACCCTACAACAATTGAATATCATTAAACAATGTTAGGCAATAATGAGGTTTCCATAATATTTTTCTTACTGATATGAATTCATCATATAGGGTATTATTATTATCATAACATTGTCTCCAGCTGAGACAAGAGGGTTAAATTTGTTCGCTGCACCTTCCTAGATTACACATATGCTTTCGACTCAGTGCCCAGGGAGATTTTGTTAAACAAGCTTGCTGAAATTCAAACTGACTGTTGGATTGTCAAATGGCTGCATTCTTATTTCTCAGAAAGAAAGCAGTACACTGTATGTCACGGAGTCGTCCACTTCATTGCTTCCTGAGGCTGGTGTCCCTCAAGGCGCTATCCTTTCTCCTTTTCTGTTTTCTTTCTTCTTGCATGACTTGCCTCACTCTGATGATGAAATGAACTTTCTTAAGTATGCCGATGATCTAACTATTTCAACGTCTGTTAACTCCCAGCTAGACTGTGCTAAGATGAACAGCTTTCTATCAGGAGTCAGTAAATGGTCTTCGTCTAACAGCCTTAAACTAAATCCTTCCAAATGTCAGACTGTTAATTTCAGTTTCCGATGTAAACGAAAGTTAAATGAAGCCCTTGGTTCCTATGAACCTGGCAAAATTGATGATACTGATATAGAAATCAAGTCTGAAGTTAGGTATCCTGGATTAATTGTTTCTTCTGACCTATCCTATCTTAGCGATTTCTAAAAGGATATTTCGTCTGACTTTTTACATTAAGAAGTTAAGCCACTCAGGCATAACCCAACCACTCTTCCTGTTACAGTTTGTCAACTCGTGTATTTTACCTATTCTTCTTTACTATTCACCCTTATTCTTTCGTGGATTGCTTAAAAAAGACTATGTCATACTTCGTAGAACCCTGAAGACTGTCAGTAGGACGAGTTGTATCCCACTAGGCCACATCGTTGATATGGTCATTGATAGGCACTTGATTTCATGCAACAAATTTGCTAAAGGAATTTTGTCAGACTGTGAGCACCCACTCTACTCGCGGCTTCAACCTTTTGTCTCCTCAGGTAAAACAAGAAGTCTTTCAGAAGACTTTATGTAGGTACGTCTAAGTATAAAAGTTCCACTATACCATATTTGGCGGTACGTACTTTATGTAATGAAAATAGTGTTAGGCATCAACTAACTAACTAACCTTCTTTGCACTACTAAATAAACCATTTCCTCCACTCTTACAACATCAAACTTTATTGTTATTATACTTCTTATATTTATAATCCTCTCAATGTTTTGTTTTTGTTTATTTATTTTTCATAAGTGTGAATATCATTTAAGCTGTGTTATAACTGTTAACTTTGTACTTCCCCTCATTATACTATGTCAACAGAACATTAGATTCAATAATCTATAACATGCTAAAATTTCCAAAATGAATCGACAGTACTGTTTGAAACAAACTCACTATTATTATTATTGTTATTATTATTTTCTATAGTTTGGTTTGTAAGGGTTTGTTATGTTTTTACGAGTTGATCACGGATTGATATCAGTTAGAGAACCATTGAAAACCAGGGAGTACTGGACAGCTGCTGTTTCATCCTAGTTTGGGAATCATCGGCAGTACGCACCCACTGGAGTTTCCTGAGTTCTAGTGAGAAGTCGTGACCAGTGAGGTCAAATTAGATGTCACGTGTGTGGATGGATGGCCCACCAACGACAATGGTTGGGGTCGCGCTAAATCACGAATTAGTAGAAGTTAGAATTCATGAGCCATTGAATTGGGTCCCAGTGGCTGAATGGTATACGAGTTTGCCTTGTAACCGGAAGGTCCTGGGTTCGAATCCCAGTGGGTGCGTACTGCCGATGATTCCCGAACTAGGATGAAACAGAGCTGTCCAGTACTCCCTGGTTTTCAATGGTTCTCTAACTGATATCAATCCGCGATCAAATCGTAAAAAAAATATTATTATTATATTTAATACTCTCGATTCGTGCTTCGAATATTTTTGACTTTATATCGTAAGTGTGGACAAATTCCTCTGGTTACTATTGTTTTAATTTTTAATTTCATTTATATTTTAAGTAAATCAGATGCAATATTGTGACAAATGCTGAGAATTCCATTCTGTATCATAAGTACTGTTTTTGGAATAAAGTAGATTACTATTATTATTTAACCAAACTGCTAATATTCACAACATGCATAAAAAGGTCGTGCGTCAGTGGCACAACAGCACAGTGCTCGCCGACTACGCAGGTGGTCCGAGGTTCGAACCCCGGCCACTGACGCACTCCTTTGCCTCGCTAAGCCAGTAATAAGACTAGTAAAGAGGGAAGGTTAGGCACGAGGCTAGCAACCCCACCCTGTAAAAATAATCACCACTGCCACAGAAACTTCAAGCCTCTAGCTTGAAGCCCTATGTTCCACTGGGAACTTAAAGGAATAAAAATACATAAAAAGTAAATTCAATTCAAGCGCAAATATCTTGTTACCAGTATTCCTCACGACATAACCTCTTGCGTAAGACATAACTTAATCATTAGCACATTAGAAACACAGAAAGATGAAAGTCTATTTTATTCCTTTCGGTAACGTTGACATGATGTGATAGGAGTGTTTTATAACCAAAATAGTCCATGTAACAAACAGTAAAATTAGGGCAGTGTAAGGAGAGGGTGTGTGCGTTGGTGGCACGGCGGTTAGGATGCTCGCCGACCATGCACATGGTCCGGGGTTCGATCCCCGACCGACACACTCCTTTACCTCGCTAAGCCAGTAATAAAGCTGGTAAAGAGGAAAGGTTGAGCATGAGGCTAGCAACCCCATTTTGTAAAAATAAACACCGCTACCGAAACACTGCCTCTAGCTTGAAGCCCTGTGTGCCACAGGATCGTAAAGTAATAAAAAAAGGAGAGGGTGTAATGGCAATTCAAATACGTTTATTTTATATAATTCACAGAAAATTCCCACTGGGACGTACAGAAAATCAAAAGTGATTCAGTGTAGAGACTCTTTTCAACGAATTTATTATCAAGCTTTACAATCGTATATATATGTACGCCTAACATTTAACGAATGTGAGGTCGAATGCATAGGTGAAACTAGAAGATTAGGGTCAATTATATTTAGGGAACACAGGAATTTAACTAGACCAAAAACGATTGACCCTGTTAAGTTGAATAACCTAGAAGAAAACAGCGATTGCAGTGCACTCACTTCCATGTAATAACACACCAGGGTTAGGGTAGAAGTATTAAAAAGTAATATAGGTGGAGAGAGAGAGAGTTAGTCAGCGAAGCTATACTGACATGTATGTGGAAAGTTGCAATTAACAACGAGGTAGAGAGAGAAAAAATGAATAAAGCAAGTTATCAAGTTTGCATAAAACTATGTAACCAGAACAATGTGATCTAAACACTGGGCAGTCGTTTCGCTCATTTGAGGTCGAGCTCATCAGTGCACTGCACGCGGTTTGACTCAGATCAGATCTGGCTAGCAAGCACAGCTGGTTGATCCAAGTAGGTATGCAACTACTCATCCTAATCAATCAATCAATCATCACGTCAGTACATAATTTTATGCAAATTTGATAACTATTTAGGGCGTCAAGCAAATCACATATTGTGGCGATCTGAATAACTCGGTTTCCAAAGGAAACTTATATGGTGAAATTACACCAACTCAAGCTCTGTGTAAGTTGCAAATGGCTAAGCAATTTGCGAATTGTGAATTTGATTCATGTTATCAAGTTTTGTGAATAAACCGATATGAGATTATGACCAATACATTATTTTTTTTCCTTCACGTTCCCAGTGGAACATAAAGCCTCCAAGCTAGTGGCGTGAAGTTTCTGTAGCAGTGTTTAATTTCTAAAGGATGGGGTTGCTGCTTAGCAGTCCGCTCCGTCCTCCTTTATAGCTGTGAGACCTAGTCATTGAGAGTGGAAGACATGAAAGACTACCTGTCTTTAATCATAGATGCCTTCGTTCTATGTCCCATGTGAAGAGGTTTAGTAGGGTGAGCAATGTTGAGGTTAGGCGTCGAGTTCTAAGTAAGCAGGGGAAATCAATCGACGAGGCTGTGAAGTTACATCGACTGAGATGGTTAGGACATGCGTTACGTATGCCTAGTCATCGCCTTCCTCGACGGGCAATGATAGTTGATACAGAGTAAGCCTGGAAAAAAGCTAGCGGAGGCCAAACAAAAACATGGAACCAGTCAATGAAATCTACAACAGTTAGTCTAAGCTACGTAGGAAGGTGTAGACTTCCTGGTTGGGGTCCTCGGGACGGTAAAAACCAATGGCTGGAAACAATTGATGACATGGCTCAAAATCGTTCTCAGTGGCCCAGATGCATCCACTCCTTGTGATTTATGATTTCCAATGAAACTGTTTTGTTCTTCGTTACTACTATTCCTTTGTCTTACACCTCTGTTTACTGTCTCTATTATGCATTTCTTCTACTTTCTTCTGTTGCTTTGTGCTCTACATGGAGGGAGTGTGGCGACTTGAACTTCTGCAGATCGGTGCAGAGTTCTATGTCGAAAACAGACAGACAGACCTGAATTATCTCTGGCTTAGCGAGGAAAAGGATTGAGTCGGCCGGGGATCGAACCCCGGACCATGTGCACGGTCGGTGAGCGTCCTAACCGCTATGCCACCGACTCACCCAGTATATTATATTGTGCTCAAAATGTCATCATCCAGTTATCAATACTGTATCAAATAAACTGATAAAATATGAAGTAATAATAGCTTAACTAAATAATGGAAAAATTTTCAACTTACTGCATACGAGAATGTTAGTTGTGTATATGGTTTAAGTGGAGTTAAATCACCATTGATTAAATTGACAAAAACAATTTGATTCTCATTATAACCAATTTCTAATTCTTTATGCGTCCAAATACTCGGTTGTCCATCTTTGCCTACTTCCCCGACAACACCCCATATTGGTAAATCATCTAAATACATTTGATACCAGTATTGTTGTTCAATAGCTATACTAAAGGCTAGAAAAATATCCGGTGTAACATTAGTTTGACACACTGTTGACTTTGGTCTATTCACTAAAAATCGGAGGAGGCGGAGGGGTAAGGAAATTTTTTTGAAAAACTATATAACCTACCTTTGAAACGTATATCTACTCCACTGTATTGAAGTTCTGTTCCTACTAACGCTTCACCTAAAGTCTCATGAGCATGTTCAATTGATGTTTTAGGTCCACGACAAAATGGTAATGAATAATAGCCATAAGTTTCTTGACGATTATGATATGGACCAATAGTATTCATCCATAGAACCACTTCTTCGGCAACATCATACTAGAATAATGCAAAATCATATTTTTACAATGATGAGTTGTATTAATCAGCAAAATGCAATGTATGTTTCATACCGTCATCTATCTATCTACCTATCTATCACAGATAAACTCGATAACAGAAGAAAAAAGTAACATCTAACTTTGACACACTATGCACAAAGAGAAAAGCCGATCGCAAAATGAATCGGACTAATAGAGATCGGACTATTCGCCTCTAGTGAGATGACAACTCTAATAACAGCTCTTCAAATCTGGTTAGTCTCATGTGGATAAGTTATTCTGAATTGAAGTGCATTAATTCAAAATTTTAAGTAAAGACTTCACTACAGAAAAATGAAAGTTGTAGGGCAAGAAGCGTGTATGCTATCTTTTTGTGAAGCTTATTTTCCAGTAACAGAATGATAATACCAGTTGAAAAGTAGTTAACAAAAAACACTTTGTTAAGATTACAATTGGACAAGGTTATACAGCAACACTACTTACTAAGCGGAGGTAACAGTTTTGATCTATCGATGGATAATAGTTGATACGCTAGGATGCAATCTAGTATCACTCATCCCTCTAACAAAGTCATCAGCTGAATTCAAGCAGTCATCACTTAACTATCGATCAAATGAGTTGTGGTATGTAGAGCAGTTCGCTTTGTCCTTCTTCATGGATGTGAGAAAGGGACAGTGCAAATGGAAGATATGAAAAAGCTAACTGTCTTTGATCAGAGATGTTTGAGTTCTGTTTGTCATGTTAACGGGTATGATATGGTGAGTAATAATCGAGGCTAGACGAAGTTCCAAGTAACGAAAAGCCAACGGATGAAGTTGTGAAATGACATCGATTGAGATGGCTAGGACATGAACTGCGCATACCGAGCCACCACCTTTCACGTCAAGCATTGGTAAATGACTTGGAATTAGGTAGGAGAAGAGCTAGTGGTTAGACGAAAACCAGGCATGAATCACTGAAGTCTAAAGCAGTTGGTTTGAGCCATGTGGGGAAGGTGTGTGCTACCTGGCTGGAGTCCTCAATATGCTAAGAAGCAACAGCTAGCAACTGTTGGCCATATGGTTTAAAGCTGTTTTCAATAGCGCAGATGCAATTAATTTTTGTGACCTCCTGTATCTGTTAAAGTAAGTTTAATGTTTTTGCATGTTACTATTCTTTATTCCGTATATTTTTGCTTATTATAGTTCTTTGAATATCTTTTTCTGTGCCTTTGTGTGATATATGGAGAATGGTAACAAACTGAACCACTTCTTTGCAAAGTTCTATGTTGAAACTAAGTCAGTTAGTCAGTTCAAAATTTAAACATGAGAGATGTTCAGGATAAACAATTCCGTCACCAGTCTGTTATCATAACCTCGCGGCAATTCAATAAGACAACACTTGCGCATGCACGACGAAATCCGATATCATATTAGTTATCATCTAACTAATTATGTATAACCGGTGAAGTGTGAAATCCCTAGCTATTCTCGGCCTTCTCATTTGGAGTTGCGTAAATTGCAACGAGCATTAGTAACCCAGTGGTGCTAGTTAATGAAAGCAAATTAGCAGGAGTTCACCATCAACTTACCCGTAGAATAATAACACCTAAGACAAAAATTATGTGCAGCATGCAATCCTGACATGGTCTAAAACTATATTATCATTCTGAGATGCATAAACTCCTTTTCTCAAATTGTCTACAGTTTTTCTGTGAGACTGATGCGCATGAAAATTTCGTAATAGGCAAGTACTCTGAAATTATACTTCTACACAACTTTTAGTGTGTTTTGGATCTTAAGGATATCTCAGAGCTTCAGCTTTTCCCTTTAGGCCCACATAAACCCTCCCACCTACATCATTTCAAGTGAAAATTAACCAGTGAACATACTGAGTCATATTCAATTAGTTGGAACTCAGGCGGAAAAAAATTCCCTATGTTCCAGGCTATCTGTCGCGTTGTGTGAGAGCTTATGATACGACCTAGTTATTTAGGTTGATGTAAGAGGAGATGGTTTTCAGTCCGAAATCCGATTGCTGCAAATTATATTTTCCAACCAACGAGTGATACATGTGAGCTGCGAACCAACAGTTCACATCGACTTGCTTATATATGAGATGTCAGCGTAGCTAATGGCACTGAACTGACAAGTACATTGAACCTTGTAATTCCCAACAAATAGCTGCTACCTTGACGTGGTGGTCAGGCTTGCACATTGCAATGATCCAACAAGCTACACTGGCTGTAACTTTTGTTCCTGTAGGTCATGCCATGCCAGGAAGGTTGTTAGAATAGAGATTAGACTAAAACCAGCTACCGTTGTAGTGTAATTTTTTTTCACACTATGCTGCGGGTCTGTGGGTGAAGTCCTACTGCTGCAGAACAGGGATATAACAGCAGTAAGGTGTTCCCCTCAGGTGAACAGTATGCCAGCTATGCTGTCCCTCCGCTCTTCCGGAGACAGGGGGTTACAACAAGTTGACCCCAAAAATTGTACATCCTGACTTACCCTACGGTGGTCCGTAACTGGAGGTAACTTTACTAATGCGAAACCAAACCAAGAAACCAGTTCATACAGGCATTGTGTGACCGGCCTTAAGTAGTTGTCACCCGGGCTATCCTGTCACGCAACACACTTTGATATAAGTATAAAACTTGGGCACTGTGATAGAGTATAACTCCATTATGGATAAGATTTTATTTTGATAAATCACACAGTGTTATACAGTGATATTAACTGATGACCACGTTTCGAGCACAAACTATTGCTCACAATCATACTATACCTTTATATATATATATATATATATATATATATATATATATATATATATATATATATATATATATATATATAGTGCTGCTCTAAGCATGCCATCAAGAACATGGCATGATATTTGTAGGGTTACAATGGTCAATCTGCACCAAGATTAGAACTCGAAATATGCAATTAACAAAAACGTCAAATATCTAGGATTATTTACAATAGAAAACCTAACACCCCTTGTCATTTACTCAAAGTATATTCAAGTGTTTCTGGACTATTCAAATCATTTTCATGTGATCTAAATATATAACTTACTAACGCAACTGTACAAGATTGACAAGATGAGTATTATTTCACCTCACAAATCAGTGCCGTATATCATACGCCAGTAATTCAAGAGGAATGTTATCATTTCACATAGAAACAATGCTGTCATAAACGTTCACGAGTCATTTTTACTTATATGAACTGACGACAAATAATAAATAGCTCTTCACAAAAAGCCCTTCACACCACACGATACATGAGGTAAAAACTACTGGTCTCAGCACCAGATAAAATGGAGAATTAGACTTGTTGAACGACTATTGTTGAGAGAATTGAGGGCATAAGACTTACATAAGATTAACATTCATTACTGCATTCCAAGGACAACGAAGTTATAGCAGCCACCTTGGCAAGTGATCGATAAGGTGGTGTAAACAAATTAAACTATATCTCCTATTCTATAATTTTTCAACGAGCTCTAAGAATATTGTGCTTGGTTAGTGTGTAAATGATGTTTTAGTCGGATCTAATAAAAACACGCATATGGGGGGGGGGACCCTGACAGGATAACTGGTGATTTGAGAGGACTTGATATTTGGAGTAGATTAAACAACAGGGCCAGGAATATGAAAGAAACTGACGGCACCGTGTCCCAAAGTTATCTTTTACACAGCTTTGCGAATTCCACCTCTTTAATTCTAATTAGTTGCTCAGTGTTAGAGGTAAGGTCGAACGTTATGTCTACTACAGTCCAACGACAAGACTAAAGTACAGCTACTTAAGCGAACGACCAAATAACTTCGTGGCGCTAAACGATTTCTCCAACTTTGCTGACGTGTCGGACAGGGTGTACATCAATTTCAAAGAAGGATCCTGAGGGCATTTGATAAACAGTGAATACTTCACAAAATGATGTGATATATAATTAGCTCAATAATTCTATTTACAAAAGGCGATTCGGGCGAATACCAAGAACCCTAATGTCAAGCCTGGGGAGACCGCCATCCTGAATAATTATTTACCCGTATTTTTTTGTTTTCTATACCATTACTACACAAATAACCTCTTGGTTGCTCGAGGTCAGTTGGTCGACTATTATCTTGGGTTGTTATACTTTGATCTCGCCAGTCTAACTTCATCCTAGACACCTCTTAAGACATGAATGGACTATATATAAATGGTTTGATGTTGTGATATCACGTAGTTCATAAATCATGCCTACGAATTCGCCTAGTGTTGAAATGGCAGCATAACAATGTTTATGTTGCTAATAAACAAACTATTCAACCACACAGCTGATGGCTTCGACAGACTGAACTTACGAAATGATTGTGTTCGTCACATATAACACTAGCCAGCAAAGCCAACACGAACACAAGCCACTTCATCCTGCTGGCGCCAATTTTTTTCAAATAATTTCACTTTGGGGCGTTCAAAGGTCAGTTCATTCAAAGATATCTTAAACCTGCATTCACACTGTGCCTTATCATTAGGAAACGAATTATGCAAATGGCTGAGTTGATATTGTGTCACATGTGCTTTTATGATGATTGCTACAGTTTAGACAGTTGTCAGTAAGGTCACTCTACGTTGATAGGCATCTCCAACCTTCCACTACCTAACATCTTGGCTACGGGTGACTGCGAATAAGTTGATTGTTCTCTATCTTTTAATTATTTTTGCATGAATAGTGTCGCATAAGAAAGTTCGACCGGTGTTGAAGCCATTTCTTACAACCACGAATGAGGGTTTATTCCTCCGATCAGCCTTGGATGATAGGAGTGAAATATTCAGGCACCATACAAACTGCATGAAGCAAAAAAAGCTTCATCAAATGCACGCAAGTAAAGTGAGAGTGAATGCAATGGGGATATTACACCTCAAAAGTGGGAAAAAGACATAAAATTTCAACACGGTTTGTGCACTGAGTGAACTTAAACCTTACCTGGTTTGATAGCTCGCTAGTTTTCTAGCTAGTCTCCAGTGCGGGTGAAGAGGGAGGGTTTGGAGTGGGGCTAGCGACCCTACCCCCACAAAACCACTCAAACTGCTACAGAAACTTCAACGCACAGGAAAGTTACTTAAAGTACAAAAAATATCCAAAGCAATCTTCTTCGCTCGAATCGGAGAGGAGAATTGACGCGGGCTGGTGAAAGCCTCTCGGAAGCCAGTTAGCCAATGTGTATCATATCGATGAAAGCAAGAGTGTGAATGGGAACGTGGAATGTCCGTACAATGCATGAGACTCGCTGGAAAGGCTGCCTAGATAGCCAAAGAAATGCGAAGATATGGCATAGAAGAGCTGCGTATCTGTGAGAGCAGATGGAATGGATGTGGATCGCCAAAACTGTCAACTGGAGAGTCAGCAATCTACTCTGGTCTCCCTTAGGATAACCATGATCACACTGAGGGAGTGGTTATAGTGACGTCACTATTGGCAGCCGAAGCCCTAATGCAGTGAGGACCAATCTCCTCATGCAGGATCATGACAGCAAGATTCAAATTAGAAGGAAATCCAACGCACCTACAAATAACGCGGAACAAGCGGAGGAAGATTTTCGCTAACAACTACACACATTTAAGAACAGAATCCTAATGGCGGCATCAAAATCCTTGTGCGTGATATGAATGGCAGCCAAACTGGGAGCAGATAATACAGTGAAAGAACTCATCATGGGTCTAGAGGCTTGTGGAGTACGTAAAAATTTGATTGCACACTTTCTGTTAGTTGTAGAAATTAGAGACATTGTACATGATTTTTGCTTAAAACGATTCTTGTTAAAATAGATGTAACTTCCGTGTACAATACGAAATACACTATATAGTTAGAAGCTTCGCCTTCTCTCTGGCCGTTACTGCTTACTTGCTCTACTCACGCCGTTTTGCATACTTTGGATTTATTGTAGGAGTCTATTATCCTTATCAGAAGACAACTCTACAACCGGGACACAGCATCTACCAGCAGACGCAATTCCAACAGTGAACGCTCCCCTGGATTATACAAATAATTTGTAGCAGAGGACTTGAACATTATATCCAAGTAATCTTTTTAGAGCGACTTTATTGCATATCCCCTCAGTGACGCTCGTTGCTATGTTGCTATTGGTTTCAAGTGGCCTTGGTTTTGGGGGAAGATTTAACTGATGTAATATTGTGATTTCATAGACATAACTCAGACTCATAGATGAAAGAAAGTTATTATCCTGGAATAAAGACAAGTTTTTCATAAGGTAAGGAGGACATTATTTTTCAGTTTATTTGTATATATACTATCGTGCATTGAGTTGCACTGAGTTCTTAGTGCAACGTTGCACTAAGAACTCAGTGCATTAAATGCAGTCACATACAGTACTGTTGGAATTTCTTGCACGTCAGTGTTATTTCATTGAAGTTGTAATCTCTGTAGGCCCTTAAAGGAATAAATTCGACACGGAGAACTGCTATGGAAACCGAAAGTACTTTTAGTTTACTAAATCTTACTGACTTCCCGTATAAATTTGATATCTGTCAAGTGTTTATGTAAAGTCTTCTGCAGTATTCAACAAAGTAAAAGTTGTAGTGCATAATTCCTAGACTTGTTGTAGTCATTGGTATTGCCAGGATACTACTTACTCGTTTTATGCAGCCGAAATATTCAATTCTCACTTTATTGAGGAAACACTATGTTGCCTGCAAAAGTAGTGCGTCAGTTTACGAGTTTCATTAAGCCTACAGAATGTTTTCTATTCACTGAATACTGTTTGCGAATTATCCGAGAAAACACATTTCCGAGTGGGATGTAACAAGGCTGAATTCTTAAACTGTCATCCTTATAACAGTTCAATTCAATCACATATATATTATAGGATAGTCTGTAATTGACTTTAGAGACTTATCAGGGAATAGTCTCATCAACTTACGGTTTGCTGATGATATTGTCCACCTAGACTATGAGAAGTAACCCCTGATGCTGTAAAATATGAAAATAATACCGGTGTTTGATTATAGGTGTCCGCGTTCTATCTCATGAGTAAAGCAGTATAATATGGCGAGTGCTGTTGAGGTTACGCATAAATGTTTAGGTGGGGAGGGTTAGTTAGCCTTCAAGGTAGGGAAGCTGAATAGGTTGAGATGGCTAGAACACGTGCTGGCATACTAAGCCATCGCCTTCCTCCAGGGACAATGCTAGCCAGCACATGTTAAGGTTTAAAATGTGTTTGGGTCGGTCAAATGAAAAAGTGGTATTGGTTCATAAAATTGTTGACAGTCAGCTGGAAGAACTACCGGAGATGTGACTGCAAATCTTTGGTACTGGCGCAGATGCATTCACTCTGTGTAATCTCACGTATCTATTCAACTCATGTTTTTCCTTGTCACTATTTATTCTCCCTCACATTTTCGCTCGTTAAACTTCCATTTAGTTTTATGTCTCTACCTACGTGTGCTACATGGAATGTGGTAAATTAAACAGGTGGACTTCTCTGCAAACTCATACTGAAAGCTAGTCAGAATGACACAGTCTGGCATAACTAAATGCGAAACATTGATAAATGATCTCCAAAATTTCAACAAATGATAAGTGTAGTTCTTAATCTTGTTCTTTGCCAAATGAAAAATAGATACCTTTCAGTAATCTCTTCTTCCACCCGGGACTCGTCTCCTACTTTGCAACTGGATTTGTGCTTTGTCACTTTTGTGCTTAGCTTTCGGTCATTCAGCATTCGCCGTTGTTGTTGACTCAGCGCCTAGATGACTTTAGTTGAATAAGGTTTCGATCGTGCAAACACGGGTCCTGGGCAGTTGATTGGTTGCATTATCATTTCTCAAATGGAATGCAGCATACTGTATATTAGGGTAAATCTTCCGCCTCGCTGCTGAAGCTGGTGTTCCTCAGGGTATTGTTATCTCTCTTTTCTTTTTCTCTCTCGTCTTACATGACTTTCTCTTTCTAATGAGAGCAACTTCGTCAAATACGCTGGTGATCTGACCGTCTCACTTCCTGTCATGTTACAATGTGACTGCAGCAAACTTAACTGCTTCCTGTCTGTAGTCTAAGGTACGTGGTCTTACGTTAAATCCCTCTAAATGTCAGGCAGTTAACTTTCCCTCACTCATAAGCGTGAACTGCAAGAACTGTGTCGTTCACAAGATGCTTGTATCAAAGAGGGCACTGAAACAGAAACTAAGTCTAACATAAAATACCTTGGAGTAATTCTATCCTCTGGTCTTTCTTGGTCATTCTATATCTTGTCGATTTCTAAGAAAACCTTCAGTCTAGCTTACCATGTTATGTAGTCAAGACAGTCAGGAATCATTCAACCTCTCTTTTTACAACTTGTTAACTCTTGCATTGGTCTTTACTGCTCCCCCTTATTCTTTCCTGAATTACTCAAAAACGACTATGTCGTATTGTGCAGGGTATTAAGGTTGTCATTAGGGCAAGTGGTGTACCATTTAGTCAACTCGTTAATGCATTAGTTAAAAGACATCTAAACTCATGCGAGAAATGGTCTAAATCTATACTGTCTAACCCTCAACATCTTCTCTATTCTCAGCTCTTCCCTTTAATTTCATCTGATGGAACCAGAAGTCAGTATAAAAGATTTATGATCGTTTTTGGAATTACGTAATACCAAAAATTGTTGTCGTTTTCATTGCAGCAGTTCACAGCCTATTGAGTTTACGCAAGTGCAATGCTCATTTCCCACTTTCCTGAGGAGACATCAACTAGGATTCTAGGAAAGTAGCGCGTCAGTATGTGAATTTCATGAATCTGTAGACTACATTCCATTCACTTATTACTGAAACTAAACTATGAAGGAACTGATATTTCAAAGAAGGATGTAATACAAGGCTCATTTCTACAACTGTCGTCCTTATTTTAGTTCACTTTCATCATAAATGTATTAACCGAATTGTCTGTTACTCACTTTAGGGACTTACCAGGGAACAGTCTTGTCAACTTAGTGTATGCTGATGGTATTGTCCACTTAGGCTGCGAGAAGTGACCATTGAAACTGGAAGATATGAAAAGACTACTGGTTTTTGATCGTAGTGTCTGTACCCTTTCTTCTGTGTTAAGTAGTCTAATATGGTGAGTAATATTGGGGTTAAGCTTAGTGTTAAGTAGAAATGTGATTCCAAACGTTGTTAATGACACAGATGCATTCACTGTGTGTAATCTCACATATCTGAGCAACCCTTATATTTTTTCCATATGACTGTTTGTTTTTCATCACATTTATGCTCATTAGAGTTCCATTTAATTTCTTTTTTCCTCTACCTTTGTGTGCTACATGGAATGTGTAACTTAAGCGGGTGCACTTGTGTGCAAGCTTCTATGTTGAAAGTCAGTCTGTCAGAATGATCTATAGTCCAGGTATAATGAAATGCTAAAACGGGATAAAAATAGGCAAAATGTCAACAAATGGTAATCGTATTTTTCATTTAGTTCTTGTCTAACTGAAAAAGTGATCTTACAATAATTTCTCCTCTTACCCGAGATAACTCTCACACTCTGTCTCGTTATATCTCATTAGTTAGTTAATTTTATCGCGTAGCCCAAATGCGAAG